CCCCAAAACCCCAAAACCCCAAAACCCCAAAACCCCAAAACCCCAAAACCCCGTTTATTAAGTTTTAATTAAAATTTTAATTAACAATAATCTAACGGATTAAAATGAGCTCTGCGGTTGCAAACTCAAATTCTCAGAAGCATTTATCAAAACATTTCTCGAATGCCTCACAAATGAGCAAGGGAGATGGCAACATTTCTGAAGATTTGAATGAGGATTACACTAGTTATAAAATTATTGAGTTGCTCAAGCATGATAAGTTTATGGCCAACCTTGACCATCTGAACAGTGTCCAAGCAGGCCAGAAGTTACCAGAACATTTACTTACAGGAGAACTTACTAAACAGAAGGACGATAAACCTAGCGTCATGAATCCGCTACAAGAGGATATTAATCTGCTTAACGAGCATTTTGAGAATTCTGACAGGGAAAGCGACTCTAGTAACTTATTTGACTCTTTTAAAGAAGGTATTTTTGCGAAGATTTTACCAGTATAGACCTACCCAAATTCGATCCTTCAGTCAATTATTACGTTGAATACTGGAAGACATACATTGATATCAAGATGAGCAGGGAAGAACTTTCCCAAGTCACTGAAAAGAGAAATGAGAAGCTAAAGGAGGTCTACAAGATCATGAAGTACTATGACAGCAACTATGAAGACCTGAAGGAAAACAGACCAAATGGCAGAAAGAAACATAATAGGCGTACTGCTAAGGAGATATCGAAAGAATTCAAGTGTCCTTATAAGTGAGGCAAACTCTATGGGTCTGAGGGCTCTCTTAATCTCCATATGAAGTTAAAGCACGCTGGCGGAAATAAGACAGACCGTGAGAAGACAGCCAAGTCTTTAGTAATCGCACAATTTCGAGGTGAAAAGCTGCCAGATACCACATTGAACCTTCCAGCTGGAGCTATAGACGAAGCTGCAAAAGAGTTGAACATAAAATTCGACAATAAGCTTCTCAAAGATCTCCAACAAAAAGCTAAGGAGAAGTTTGATCAATATCTTGAGAAGTGTAGGAGGGAGGGTAAAATAGATCCCTTGACTAACCTCCCTTTTGTGAGCAACTAGGCTATCCAACACTCTCTCACTATTCTCAAAAAGTGAGCGAAAATAATAAAATCTGATTTCAACTCCTCTATTATTCGAGGGGTTTTGGGGTTTTGGGGTTTTGGGGTTTTGGGGTTTTGGGGTTTT